ACCATTTGTGCAGTCCATATTTGCATTGCTTTATCAAATTCAGGAAATCTTGTTGAACACTGACAAAATTTGTCTAATCCAATTGTATCAGAAACTAAATTCAGCCATTTATCTTTATCTTTAAATATTTTGGAAATACTTGTTCTATCAATATCAATATTTAGTTATTTGTATTTATTATTAAAGAAAGAGGCAACATCAGCATGTTTAACACTTTGATGAACCATCATATATTCACAAATTTCTTTCTTTAATTTAACACTGATAGCATTGCAAGTTCTTTTAGCAGTTATTTTTGACTTCAGCATTTTTATTTAGCTATTGAATTATTATCAATTCTTTTTATAAGTATTAAATTAAATTATAACATGAAATCACTAAACTGAATTCATAAAATAAGTGTTAAATATTTAATTGTAAACACCAATAAGAATTAAGGATACCGGCTGCAACTTTTGATGATGGTTGCTACCACCTTTGCGTCATATAAAAATGATTGCAACCACTGGTTGCAACCACCTTTACAACCATTTTGTTTCCTTTTTTGGATTGCGACATGGAACACTAATAAGAATAACTTGGAACCAATTCAGTTTACAATAATTAATAGATTTTTTTAATTCAATTGTTCATCACTAAATTAACTAAAAATTAACAGTAAAGAATAAAGATTACGAATAAAACAAATTATTTAAATAAAAATGAAAAAGACAAAACAAATAGAGTGAATAGGATGAATAAAACAAATAAAACAAATTTGTAGATTTGCAGTAACTAAATTTTTTGAATTGTAATTTATTTAATTGGTCAGTCATTCATGAAAAATAAAATTTGCAATTAATTATTTGTGGCAGCCATAATTATTTTATTATGTTAACTACCATTGCTGCAAATAACCAATTATGGCAGGTGTCTTTAGAATGATAGTTTCGGTTATATGAAATACAATGATATAAAATAACATCATTATTCTTTTTTTGCAAATTTTTAAATTTTATAAAATTTAGTGATTGTATGGAGGGATTTTTTCTTATCTTTACTAATGTCGTGTTATATGACTAGGTGTGATAGTGACTATAAGGGAGGAGTGACTATATGGGAGGCATTTGTATATAAAATAATCCGGGCTCAAACCTTCAGTGACTATAAGGGAGGAGTGACTATACAGGAGGTGACTATATGGGGGCCGACTGTATTTGCTAATACCCCGTTACCCAATTTGGCATCATTTGACCATTAAAATGAGAACAAATAGAATATATGAGCAAAGAAAGATGGTAGCACAAAAGAATTTTAAATCATGCACAAACATAACAGCTTGATAGTTTGATTGACATAGTGGTGCAGTCTTGCAA